CAAATTTTTAGGAACAAAAGAGTATTCTTTATTGTGATGTACAACCTTTGATCTAACATTTGAAAAATATTTTCTTAGCTTAGAAAGAGTTTCATCTGTATTATCAACTTCATTATTATAACTTTTCGTAACAACTAATTCACCTGGTAATCTTAATGTTTGTCCATAAACTAATTCTGCAGAAGAGCATTTTAAATTTTCTTTAATAGACGTACGTAGTCCTAATAATATAAATAAATATAAGGAAGAATTTCAGACCAGTGGGTAGAATCATCTGAAGCAGTAATAGCAGTCTTTAATGTTCTATGAAATCTTTCAATCATTCCATTTGATTGAGGATGATATGAATCTTGTGTGATCTTAACAATTTAGTTAATTCTGAGAAAAATTTTGATGTAAACTGTGATCCTTGATCTACTGTTATATAAAGTGGAATGCCGAAACGAGGAACGTAATTTTGAACAAATGTTGTTGCTATAGAATTAGCTGAAATATCTCTAAGTGGATATGCTTCGGGCCAACGTGTATGTCTATCAGTGATAGTTAAAATGTAACGATTTTATTTTGACACAGGTAATGGACCAACAAGACCCATATGAATATGTTCAAATCGTCCAGATGGAATGTTAATTTTTTGCACAGCCGTCTTAGTATGTTTAGAAATTTTTGATTTTTGACAACTTATACAATAGGGCTGGTCGAAAATCTAATTTTTCTCAAATCCCTTGGTAATAGCGGAAATATATTGTATCATGAAGTCAACAACAAACCTGCAAAATATTAGTATTTTATTTTAATTGTGAGAGCCCGCGCATCGACCGCCAAGTGACCCACAGCACACTAGTCGAACAAGACCAATTCTTGTTAAAAATTCTGGGTCCAGTAAAAAGGGTTGTGCATATTATTAGATAATGAATGCGTTAACGCAAAAGATAAAGTCGAATGCCATTTCTCGCAGCACTTTAGCTTACCGTTAATTATCTCAAACTTATCTATTTTCAAGAAAATTTTAATTGTTCTCTTGATAATTGCACTGGCCTATAGTCCAAAGATGTAAAGAACAGCATTAATATTGCTGGCGTGCATTTAGATCGCTAGTTCCAAATATTCTAATCTTTTTTTAATATTGGCTATAGTTTGCGATTTTTTGCAAATTTAGGAACAATTTCGGTAGCTCTTATAGAATAGCCATTATTTTCCATCATCGTGGAAAAATTGTGTTTATGCAAATGAGTATGGAAACACTGAACAGGCACAACTTCTAGAAACACTAATTAGTTTACTTATGTTTATGCATACAATTTAAAAATTGCAAATATAGCAAAATGACAAAAAAATTTTGTTTAAAATTTTTTTATTTTAAAATAATTGGTTTATAATCTGAACGATTTTCATCATATTATTATCATAAATCAGTAACAGTAAGTCTCGCCTTCAATTTGATAATTATTACGTACCCATCGAGTAACATTTACCAAAGTTATATCGAAAAAATTAAGTGGATTTCCAGTTTTTTTCTAAAAATATTTCTCTTCAATTGTATAAATAACCTTTAAATAAAAGAACCGGATTACAGAAAACTGTGCCAGCGAGTGACTTTTTTCGTT